CCACCCGCGCGCCAGCCAGGAGGGGCCAAGTCCTGCCTTTCGGAGGGACCTGCCGAGGAGCTGCCCTCCCCAGGTGGGGGCACAGCCCTGCCCCCTCTGAGCGGTTAAGTGGAGTGGAATCCCCTCTGAAAATTTGGCAGCCGATTTCAAATGGGCAAGACAAAGCTGCATGCCTGCGTCGGGCTGCTCCCCTGGCTGCAGTGTCACTTCCAGGCGATACCTGATCTTCCTGGACTTCTTTCAGTCACTGCAGACTCACACCTCTGATAATTCTTCCCAGATGTATTTTGTGATTTATTTCTTTTTCCCCCAACTTAAGGAAGATCAGCACTTTAATTTCTTTTCCTTTTTCTTCTCCCCAGGACCTTGGCACATCGTGTAAAACGTCGTCTTTCTGTTGGTGGATACTTACTCCTGAAGAACAAAAGCTGATGCAAAAAGCACGTGGTTACTCCGGGTGGTTTTTGTACGGCAGCACTTGCTGGACTTTTATCGTGTTTTCTTTTTTCCCCGTAGTAGAGTAAGGCGTCTCCCCCTCCCCCTCCCCCCCAGCCATTCATTTTATTATGCTCATATGCTTTGACTTTTTTGTAATTTTCTTCATTTTTCAGAGGGAAAGAATGCTTTATATTTGCAAGAAATCTATTTCATAAATGAATAGCAATGCCAAAAAAAAAAAATCTGCAGACTTTTGCACATAATCTCCACATAGTGCCTGTAAATCTCGGCAGAATTCCTGTGTGCTGGTGTTTTTAACCCTGCAGTGAATGCATTAAACATTCTGGAACGCGAAGAGCTTTAGCTCCCCTCAGCCCACCTCAGCCTGGCTGCGCAGTCCTCCCTCAAGCCAGTCCCTGGTCGGTGAGCTGTGGGCTGCTAAAGGGTGAGAAACTGGGGATTAAGCGCTTCGTCAGGCGCATCTGGTAATGAAGCTGCTGTTCCGGGTGCCACCTGAGCTGTAGTTAACAGAAACCAGATAAGGGTTTTAGTGGGGTTTGGGTTTGGGTTTTTTTCCCATCAGATCTGTACTGTTGTCTCGTAACATCAGGAGCCTCCTGGACTGAACAAATTCAGAGCCTGGTGCGGCGACGGCACCGTTACCATCGCGGAAGGGGAAGTACGGAAGGTGCATGAGCCTTGCCAGGATCGGAGAGAAGCTCAGGCCAGCAGGCAGACTTTCTCTCTCTTATTTTGCACTGTTTCTAGTCCTTGCTCCTGTTCCTCACGCCCCAGCCGGGACTGCAGGGATGGGGCAGAAGTTAACGCTGCGCGGAGCCACGCCGCCTTCACCCGCTCCGCGAGGGCCGGCAGCAGCAGGCGCCTCTTGGGGGTCTCTCGCAGGCGGGGCTGTCGCGACCCCCGCGTGCCCCGCGCCTCACGGTGCTTGCCTCTGTCTTCGTAACCTGCAGAACATCTTCTTGCACGCCCTCGCGCCCTGCTTCACCGTTAGCTTGCAGAGGCGTGTACCGATGCCAAAGCCAGCCTCCGGCACGCAGCACTGCGGAGACAGCCTGGAGATTCAAGTTGGGGATATTCAGACTCCTGGCTGTTCTTCGCAGTCTGTACCGAGAACCTGTGTCACACTAATAAAGTTTTTAAGAACGCATTATGTGGTTTGTAACTTCCCGTGCGTGACCGCTGTTCTCTGAATGGCAAGACAAAAGAAACCCTGGGAATAATAAAAAAACCACCAAATACGGGCATGTTAAAACTGTGTGTTTAAAAACATCCCCGCGGAACACCCATCAGCGCGGCTCCGGGGGGCCCTCGCGCTCTGATCACCGCGCAGCTGGGGGGCTTCTCCCCCCTTTCCTTTGTTTCCAAAGCTGCGGGACCACGTTGAACGCGCGGGCTGCCACGGCGGGGGGAGCGGCTGACAGACGGAGGCGCAAGCACGAGCGTTCAGGAGCAAGGATTAAATCTTTTACTGACGCCTTTTTTTTTTGCCTCGGCCCTGTGCACGCCTGGGACCGCGAGCGCGCGTCTGAAACGTCTGTGTGCGCTGCCACGGATCCACCGGTGAAATCCATTGCGTGGCAACACCCGGCATATCGGCGTACCCGCTGGTGATAAACCCCCCCGCCCTGTGTTCCGCAGCGGGGGTGCAGGGCGTCTGGGCACGCGCTGCCGAATTGACACTTCCTCCGTGTAAAAAAAAAAGGGGGCGGGCAGGGAGCAGACTCAAGACTCAACACTTCCCCGACCATGAAGCAGTTAAGGCGGAGCAGCAGCAGTGCAAATCACTGCGCATGACGGCAAAAGAAATCAATGTGCAAAATGACACAAATGAGGCACTTTTTGTCCAGAATCATGTAAATGAATTTTATTTTTTGTTAGATTTGCATCTCGGCTCTGAGAAGGTTTTAAAGCAAGCAACTGAGGCAGCAGAAGACGCCGCACAGCTGGCGCACAGCTGGCTCGGCGCTCCCCTTGTGCGCCAACAGGCACGCGACGCCTCGTCTGTAAGGGGCTACGGCGAGCGACAGGAAATGGGATTTTCTCCAGCACCGCGACGGCTTTTTGCCCTCCACAGCAGAACTCACCAGCAGAACTCAACGGCCTTTCCCAACTAATGAGGAAGTGGATTTCAACTTCCTGGGCTGGTGTAGGTTCTGGCTGCGAGAAGAGCGAGCAAGGCAGAGCCCATAGCTCATGATTACGACTTTTTCCCTAAATCCTTATCTTTGTTAAAGTTTCTGAATGCTTCAGCATATCAGTGAGGAAGCTGAGCCAGGCCAGGTCAGACCTGGAAAATAAACACTGGAATCATGCACAGGGCGAGGTCGTCAGAGCAAAGCGCTCAGCTGCATTTAAGCACATGTGGTAATTAGCTGGATTTTTTTTTTTTTTTTTAAAGTACAGAAATAGAGGTTTTCTGCAGGTAAACAGAAGCCACTTACAGGTGCCTGCTAAACAAAAACCAAAAAAACCAAACACCTGCAAGATTTCACCACCACCCCACAGAGAAGGAACAAAGAGCGTTATGAATGGCGGTCCTGTTAAACGTCAATGAGTGCTCCTGACAACAGCTGCATTTCAGTTAGGTGAAAAAGGGATAATTACAAGCAAAAATTCCTGCTAAAACAAACTGATGGTTAAAAATCATCTAAAGTAAAAATCATGTGAAGTAAAAATCATCTGAAGCAAAAATCACAGCTTTCCCCCCTTCCCCCCCGCCCCCCGCCCAGGAAATGTACACACTCATTTCCCGAATGCTGCCTAGAGCACAACAGTATTTCCAGCGCAGACAAAATATTGGCAGCAGCAGGAGTGGGGCAGAACAGCTGGGAGAGGGCGGCACTAAGGGGAGAGCGCAGCAGGGACGGGGCCTCACCCCTGCGCAGCCCCCACACCACCGCAACCACCCCCAGCCCCCCAGGGCTACGGTAAAGCTTGCATGGGCAGCCCTTGTGGTATTTATTCTGACAGACGCGCTGTTAATGACAGCCAATACTTGGGGCTGGTTTTTTGAATTGTGTGCCGCTTGATCCGAGGTACGTGTTTGTAAAAATTAATTCTCCCGGAAGCCTACGCCATAAAGACAGGCGGAGGGCTTTGCTCCAGAGGTCTAGCGCTGCTCGGTGTTCCAGCTGCAGCTTTGTAGGAGAGACACGGGAAGGGTGAGCAATTCCAGGTGGAGTTTCTCTCGGCTGCTGGCCCCCCAGTACCTGCTGCTTTTCCAGAAGCGACGCATTTCAGGTCTCTAGCAGTCGGCCTCTCCTACGCCCTCCTTCGCTGCACAGCGTTGCCTTTTCAAAGTCTTACCCGGTGAAAGAGATCAAGGAATGGTTCTGTTCCCAGCAAACCACAACCATGAGGGAGAAAAATTCTGAGCAGCCACATTAGACTGCCTTGCAGCTCCATCCGGAGAAACTAATTCGTACAACTGAGCGGCCCCTCCAGGCCCGAATCTTCATATCTTTTTAGTGCTTTCCAGTTATTTCTAACAAATACAAGCAAGGTGCCTTCATTTACAGGCGGTTGGTTTGCAACCACACTTTGATTTCCTCAAAATTTCTATCCATCCACAGTATATTGTCTTCAATGGTCTCAATGGCCTGCTGGACACAGCGGAGCTGTGAGCTTTTTTCCTCCAGAGAACTGAAGAATTCTTTCACCTGTTGACAAAAACATGAAGGAACAGTTGGTGAAGAGGCAGCCACGTCTCTCAGGTGCACAGGAAGACCAGCACGAGATCTGTGGCACTCGAACCCAGCCTTGGGTCTTCCACCCCCTCCCCTCCCAAGTCCACCCCAAGAACAGTTTTTTAGAAAGGTCAGGCAGTGGTGAGAGCTCACGAGCTGAGGAAGGTTACAGCTCAAGTCAGATTATAACCAAAGCGCAGCTGAAGGAGCTGTCGGGTCACGTGGGGGATCCGTCAGCTCATTCACTGCTGATAGCAGAGCACTCCAGGAAGTTTTCCCTGCTCGGGGAGTGTCTGTGCCTCCTTTTAGTGTTCTAAAAAAACCCCTCCAGCTCCGCCAGTGCTTGGGGAGCCAAGTGAGGCACCTGTGAGGCAGCCACTGGAAACCTGGAGGCTGCTTCTGCTCCTTGCATTCACCGCACTCCCTGTGGCTGCGGGAAGGGCCGGCAGCTGCCTTCTGCACTTTTGTTCCCTTCTTGTTCTTCTTTTTTAAAGGAGGCACTCCTGATCACAGGGCTCCTTCTGGAAACTTACTACAGCCTCAGACTTGAGCTGGTGTTAAGGGCAGACAGATGTTTTCAAAAGAGACAGTGACTGTACAAACGACATGTGCGATTTCTGAGAATTTACTTTGGTGAGCACCACAGAAGGTGCCAATGCCTGCACAAAGGACAAGACAGACACAAGCGGGGCACAAGGAAGGGAGCTGTGGCATTTTCTCTCTCAAGCTCGTACTGACTTTGTCTCTGTTCAGAGACTCGTACGAAGTCCCGAGGCAGATGCAGCCACATCTCTGTGCGGACACAGAAACGTCCCTGCAGCCTGTGCCACCGGCCAGGACACTGCTGTTGGCACACGGGGAGAGTCCGCTCAGATTGAAAACGAAGACTGAGAACTATATTCTGTATTCTTTCCGGTTCATATATAATACAGTTGCATTAGTTATGCCTGTGTTTTGCCCTACAGCAGAAAATTTTAAACAGGCAACAAAAGTAGCAGCTTCTGGAAAGGTACTGTCAGCAGTGCCATTAAATCCACACATTGGCCACTCTGGGGTGGCCAGCAATCAACAATCAACAGAGACTGCGCAGTAAGTAGACAAAATGATTACACACGACATCCAGGAGCACGGAGGGTTTTCCCCGGAACAGAAGATGCAGAACAGTGAGGTGATTTCTCACCGTCTTCCAGCACCTTTCTTCTGTCTGCTCCATGAAAAGACAACTTTTTTCCTCACTACTTTCCAGAACGGGTAGGAAATACTGGTAGAGACAGGGTAAACCAAGAACCCTCTGGCAGGCAAACGTTCACACTCCACTCACTGCTTAAACAAAGAACATCCTTCTCCTTGCCGCTGACCTGATGCTCTCCCCCGAGTAGCCACACTCCTCACCACAGCAGTCTCTTTCAAGGAAGAGGCAGGGTATTGCCCTGGTGCTCCGTAACCGGTCGTGCTTTCACCACATTAAGACTTAATCCAGATTTTCATTTCAGTTATACCACAACTATTTTTTAAAGCCAGGATCTGAATGGCTTACCTGTGCAAGCTGTGATCTTGTTGAGTACCGACTTGTCACCCCAGTGACAATGCTTGCCACGGAATTCGAACCGAGTTCAAATCTGGCAAAAAGAATCACCTTCACTCAGAAAATGTCTGGTTTTGTAGAAAGTAGATTGTTAAAGTACAATTGGGTAGAGAGAGCAGTAAAACAAATTCGGTTCCTTACTTTTCTACAACTTTCTTCCAATTTTCTTTTAAAAATGCCCAAGCTAGGTGATACCCAGATGGGTTTTTGGCAACAAAGACAATAACGTGTGGGAGGTCCTGAGTCCGTATGATGTCACCACGCAGACCTTGATCCATTAACCTGAGAATTATGAACAGAAATGGAAGTTGTTCAGACCAATAGATAACGCTGAGAAATTCCTATTCCCTTCGTATTTGGTACCGTGGTTGAGAGTTCACATTTCCTGGCGCATCATTCTTCACAGCGTGCTCCTCAGCCACATCCACCATCCCCATTTCTGTTACTCTGTCAATTACAGCTACTTGGCAGACCTGCACTCTGAATATTAAGGATAAAAATGAGGCTACCTTTTGCTCCTGCTCAAAATTTCCAAATTAATACGATCCTCGCTCCTCGCTCTGTAAGAAAGGTTATTTGTTCTACACTAACGATCAGTGGAAAGTTCAGGCCTGCAAATGCTGCCCATGATTAAGGTGTCCAAACAGCACTAGGATGCAAAGAATAATTACATAATGAAACAGCTAAAGCACGTCTCCAGTGGTACCGGAACACAGGTACATCAGTGCTCCAGGCTCTCACCCCATCAGACGGCAGAATCGGGGTCACAGAGTGCACGGTTTGAAGGCAACACCTGAAAACCTCAGTGGTGCTCAGCCGCCTCAGAAGCAGGAAACCCCAAATGTCTGTCAGAGATGTACAGCACATGTACGTACAATCAAAGTAACTGAGGAGGCGTCTGCCAAGCAAAGACGAGGTGTCCTTGCCCCAGCTGGCTACTGCGAACTGCAGCAGCTGCAAAACGCCACGGAGCGCATCGAGTGCCGGCCGCAAACGGGGAAATGAAAAGGCATGGCCACTTCTTCCCACCGCATTACCTTGGTAACGCGTTTCATACATCACGGAATTCAAAAGCTAGGAAAGAAGACTCTGAATACTTCTATTTCCTGTTTCAATGCTCATGAATTTTCCCCAGACGCATTTCTGTTCAATGTAAGTACTTACCACTGAAGCTTGTCCTTACTTCTGCTCAGGCTGAGCGCTAACTCAATGTTCTCCCTCTCTACGTTGAACGAGTGCAGTCTGTATTTACTGAGGAGGAAATCCCAGCCTTCCGATGTCTGTGCTCCAACAGCATACACGGCTGCCTTCACATCTGCTGGCAAGCTGTGGCAAATGGAATATGAAGTTACTCTCCATGTCATACTGGGGAATACACGTAGAAACCCAGCCATGTCACCCTCACACGTCAGCTGGCATAGCGGACGGTCCCTCAGGGGCGTTAGAAAGCGATCCCTGTGGCTGGGAAACAGTTAAATATCTCAGGGTGCATCTCCATATTGTTCCTGCCTCGGAAATGCCTTCCAGAAATTCTGGGCTCATCACTCCTTTTTTTTTGCCCTTCTTTATTTTTGAATATTTTTGTCATGGCCATGCCCGGTCAGATACTTGGGCCTGCCCAGAACAATCTTTGAGACATTTTGGAGGGTGTTTTAGGGAGTTCTTATGCCATGATGTGAAACAAAAATAAGGTGAAGCTCATGAACAGTAGCTACCTATTTTTACAACTGCTATAGGTCAATCTTCATACACATAAATGAGGGAATACACGTGATTTTCACCTTTCAGACCACCTTTGACGGCCCCAGCTGCGGCGTACCATGTGATGTGTCCCCTAGTTTGGGCACATACTACGCACCAAACCATAAAGGCATGGGGAAGCTACAGCACTGAGACACAAAACTGTAAGAAGGTTCAACTTCAGAGAGCAGAAAGGACTGAAGTTTGTCTCTTTTCATAAATTAACTCTACTGCAATTAAACAGAGCACCAAAAAAACCAGTAACAGATACAGAACAGACCTCAAGGTTCCATCGGATTTCTGCCATTCTGTAAAATATCCCTTGGCTTTGTCCACGCATGGCTGGTACTTGTGGATGCAGGCGAACCACAGAAGCGAGTCCCTAAGCAACCTCTCAGACAGCGAGCCTTCATCGCTCCAAGACTGCCTGTCAATCAGGTCCTTAAATAGATGGACTATATACTCCTAAAATAAGGTAACAATATGGATATGCTTTAAAGCACGTTTACAGGGCACAGGCAGAGTTAGGAAGTTCTAGATACTTGAAATATTACCTTTAACTGTTTTTCTGTACCATCCATATCCCTCCTCTCAATGAGCCTGTATATCGGGATCAGCTCGTTCATACCTTGCAGCACAGGCATGATTTGTCTCTCATGTTTCAGGTACAAAGTCAAATCAAAAGCTTTGGAAATTGATAATTTTTTCATTCTGAGGAAGTAGAAGAGAGGGCACAAGACAAGTTATAATTAAACTTAAACAAACTTAAAAGCAAAACCCAAGAGAAATGTTTTTCAGAAAACTATACAAATAGGAAAGCCCTAAAGGTATTCCCAAATCTCTCTTTTACTTTGCTTTTTGAAGTGATGTGTGGCTGAGCAGCTCCATAAGCTATGAAACCTAATACTTAATCTTTGAACTAAGAAACAGACTAAGAGAATGATTTAGAAAGATCGAGTTCCTGCCCCCCACCCACGTGCCAAGGTTATCCCAGCACAGCCTCCCCCTCCTGCTCTCTCCCCACTATTGCTTCTGCTCTGCCAACCACACACAGAGTAGGAATCTGGCGACTGAGGTCATCTCCTCAGCGACTCCTTTCCCCTCGCTGTAGGGACTTAGCCTGCAGTAACCCTCAAAGCCACAATCCCAACTGCTCCCTCACTGTCTTTACCTGACTTTGCAAACTGTCTTCTCCTTTTCTGCCAGGACACATCTCAATAATTTCTTCCGAGAGCAAACAGAGGAGATGCGAGAGGTCTTTTCTCACTCTCCCTGTTCATTCTTTCGTCCTTCTGTGAAACCTTTTTTTCTGCTTCCTTTCCACGTCAGCTCCCTGCACACATTCTCATTTTGTCCTTATCACCTGCCTTTTCTGCCTCAAAATGCAAGCATGTTCTAGCCACCCATCATAAGATGAACCCTGCTCAACCCAGTTTGCATCTCTAACTTGTCCCTCCTTCCTTGCCTCTCTGAGCTCCCTGAATGTCCCGACCAATCTTTCTTCACTCTCCTCTTTTGTCTTCAGACTAGAAAGACTTTTCTTTTGCTGTACAAACAAAAATCCTGACCAACCCTGCTGACATCTCCTTGTGAGCTGCCACCTCCAATGCATACGATCTTAATTCTCTTCCACCTCCCCCACTACCCTCTTTCTTGAACACCGTGCACTCAGCCCGGGAGTTACGTCTGTCGGTTCTTCAGTTCTCTGTGCCAGGCTACGCACAAGCCTTTGCAAAACGCCTCCAAAACACAGCCCCTTCTAACGCATCTGACTGCGATCATAATCGCGTCGTGTCTTTACAACCGTAAAAGCCTTGTTTGTATCTGACAAGTGGCACCAGTATCTTTCCAGGTGCAGAACCATTATCCCAGTCCACCTCTTCACGCTGGCATCCTTCTGCTGGCACGGCCTTATTGAACACGACATATTTCACTGAATAGGCTTAGATAAATCCACTGCAGTCAAGAGAAATCCCAGGTTTACATTGCCCACGGTCTGCTTAACCGATTTAGTGCATCCTACGTACATGATCAACGCCTCCTTCCTCCGTGGCATTACTCATAAATACAGGGTTTGTATTCTTTGTCAGGCTCGGAGAGAAGGCCGTACCTCACAAGCTGGAATATGTTGTTAATGAGACTTGCTCTGTCGTTGCTGCTAATCACTGTATGGTTCTCTTTCAGAAGGGTGATCAGACGATCCCATCCATCATCTTCGTAGTGCACAATGTAATACCCATTCATGTCCACGTTGAACTTAACCCACTCCACCTCTTCCGGAAGGATAATGACATCTGAAAACAACGCGACTCCTGTTTCCCTTAGTGATTCAAACGCATCCTGCTACTACATCCAATCACACTGTTACTCTCATTTCAGTGCTTTAAAGAACACAGTAACACAGTGTCTGAATATATTAAGAGCTCGTTATAGCACTATTATTGAGCTGACAAAAATTTGCTTCTCTGGTTCCAGCTCCGCATTCTGAAAAAAACCCTGCAAAACTAAAAGGCTTGCAAACAAACTCTAAATAAATCAATTGCCTAATTAGTCAAAGAAATTACCTGCTTTAGTCGTCATCAGAAACCTCTGAACGGTGTCAGACTTACTGGTAATGTAGGTTAGTGGAATGTGCCACAAGTACCTGTTGCAAAACAGGAGAGCTTTGTTTAATGAAAGACCTTTGCAAAGGCTTCTCCAGCGTGTCCCCAACTAACTGCTGAGCATCTTCTGCCCGCACAGGCGCAGCAGCACGCTGCGCTCACACCCCCGACCTCAGTGCAGAGCCAGATGCATCGAGCTAGCTTTCACGTCCTTTGCTTGGGGGACGACCGGCACCGAAGCCGCAGCGACAGGAACTCTGCAGCCTAGTGCCACCAGCACGGCTCCCGCGGCAGGTTCCCCCGCCCCCCCA